TTCACTTCAGTAAAAAGTTCCGCTGCCAATTCTAAAAATACAGAAGAGATTAATTATGAATCATGAATCGCTTTATGAATATGCATATTGGTATTGAGTTAAGGGAATGGGAAATGTTTATTTTATAGAAAGAATAACAGAATATTATGTGAAAGAATGGGTGTGAAGAGATAAAGGACAGGTTCATAAAGTTAGGTGAAGAAACAAGAAAGATCTTAAGCAAGAGTAAGATACAAAAAGAAAGGTGATAAGAAAACTTTGAAAAGACATGAAGAAGAAATTAAAAAAGGACCGGAAAGACAGAGACAAATAAAAGAAAGTGGATTAGGGATAGAATTAATAAAGCTTAAAAACAAAGTAGAAAATAATAACGGGTATAGGTACAAAGAAGTAATGTTACAAAGAAAAAGGTTTATAGTTAAGGTAAAAAGTAGAACTGTGTTAAAGACAGATTATGTAAACCAAATCCCCTTCTTAATTGTTGTATGTGTTGAAGTAAATAAAATTCTCTATTTATTCTTTATCATTCTTCATAAAGTAAAATTAATTTTGAACAGAATAATATTTAAAATAAGAGCAAGTAATGTTATCAAATATTATAAATTCAATTTAATGAAACTAAAGACAAATATTGAAAATTGATATTTCAGAATTGTTCCTTAAATCTTTTTTTTTTAAATTCATATAACACACAAAAATTATTCCCTCAGATAAAAACATAGTAAAAATAGTTGGCCCATTTAATAATATAAAATTTACATTTATTAAAGTAACAGTTAAATTTAGTAGAATAATTAATTTTGTATATTTTTATAATTTGATACTAGCAATCTATCCAGTCCACACTCCGAAAAATTAATGGCTATTCTGACTCAAGTTTTACAAGACGACATTTTAATTTCTGTCAAGAGACATACATAGTGCTAAACCTTTTAATTGATGACTAATTGCGAAAAAAAAAAATAACAGAGATTTTATTATATTAATATTATATCCAAATGTAATCTAGAAGTAGTATGTAATCTAGAAGTAATCTAAGTTTAGTATGTAAGTTTTAGAAACGTTTCTTTTTGGTATATTTTATTAGGTATTAACATTGAAAATGATTTGAATGTATTGGTCAAAATATGTGTCATATTTGTTTATAAATTAAAATATTAACATATATCAATTTACTGTTGCACTCTTAACTCTTGACTTTATTATTTGTTTTTATACAATTGAGCGGTAACTATATTAATTATCTTTAATATAAAATTTCTTATTGATCACATTAAAATATTATTACACAAATTTTAATTTATTAGACAACTATGTATTAATTGTTATAACTAATTTTTATTAATATAAAAGATAACAATTTAAAACAATAAATTATTTTCATGTATTAATATGTTCTAATTGTTAATTTACAACTGAATATCATACTGACCTGTAACTGGTAAACTCAAGCAGTTAATCACTGGTAACTTGGAATAATATAATGACTTTTTTATACGTTTGATAAACTCATCATGTTCCAAATCCTGCAGTAAAATAAACACAAAATGTATCAAGAACTTCAGTTTTTATTATTATACTATTTATTAAATACTATTTATACTATTTATTAAATAGCAATGACAAAAAAAGGAATAATTCTCAATCATCGAACAATCTTCAAACGTTTTTAAATTTTTGCTCAATTAATGGCTTTTGATAACAACAAATCGCAATAAATTGCAATATATAGCAGACACATATACAATTGTATTTTGAATTAAAAATGATGTGTCAAGCATAAAATTGCATATGTAAGATTTTACCTTTGAACTTGGTATGTTCGTGCCTCGCCAGCTGTTCGTCATTGTCGGGTATTCGTGAGTCTCACCATAAACTTTTTCTGCAATATTTTTGTAACACGTTTCTATACTAAAGCAGTTATCGTCAAATATAATCCAGACAATCACTTCATCGAGGTGACGTAAAGTTTTGCAAGAATGTAAATTACTTCGTACCTCAAAGTAGCACACACGATTAATTTAGGTTAGGCTCATTCTCCACCATGAACATACAAAATAATGGAATAAGCGTGCTAATCACATACGAATAACACTTATAAGTAGCAATTTGATAGGTCTATTCACGTTGCTTGCACTTTCTACACTTATTTTCGTTTTCATTCTTTTCCAAATATTTTATATTATATTATATTATATTATTTTATATTATATTTATCTCATTTTTAAGAACAAAAAATTTTGGAGGATTTCAAACACAAAAAAACCTAAATATAATATTCGGGTGTTAAAGAGGGAGAAAATCGAAGATTGAGCAAAAAGTGCAAATAACGCCAACAGTTGTAAACATATGATGATAATGGTATCTACCATGATTGTATGTATGCTTCCACAGACTACATGTTTCCATGATTTACAGGATTCGCTAAAAATTTTGAAACTTTAAAATTATCAATTGTGCAAAACTGTAAAAAGCAATTATTGTATTTGTTACAATAATTAATTGTTTAGATGTAGCACTGTTAATAAAACATGGCTTATCCGTCATGTAATTTAGTGGAGGCGGTCGTCGATGAAGTTGCCTTGGAAGGTTTAGACGGCATTACTTTACAAGGTTATTTGATTTTACTTTTGTATCGTAAATACTATATCATTTTAAATATTTAAGATTAGATTATCATAATAATTTATCTATTTCTTTATTACAATGGACTGTTATATTAATTATTGTTTAAATATATATAATTTTGAAGTATGTATCTTATTGATTCAGCTTTATTTTTACCTTTGCATATTATTCTTTTGTTTGTTTGTTATAAATAACGTATTGATATATTTTTTATGTCTCCTTATTTCTTATTTTTAGCACTGTGGATGCGATTAGCAAACAGGTTCAATGATTCGCTGCCATACCCTAAGCCTTTTATGGAACAGATATGGATAATATGCACGAAAATAAAGGATTTTCAGTTTTATGAATTAGAAACACCCCGAGATCCACTTGTGATATTCGATCGTTATGAACATGTACATCCTGATCTTGGTATTATACAAGAACCAGTAAGTATATTAAATATAATAATACTTATATAATTTTATTATATATATAATTTTATTATATAATAATACTTGTATAAAATATTCTTACTGTAAAGCTACATGAAATGTTGAAATATTTGCTATTTCATTAAGAAGATTAAGCTATAAAGTGATTTTGTAATTACAAATAATTTGATTTTTTAATACTTTAATTCTATTTTGAATTTTAGCCAACTGTTCCACCAGATATTTATCCCCACTGTCCTATTCAAGATCCTAAGACAGGTGTGAGAGGATCTTGCTCCACATATCATACAAGAAAAGATATCACAAACAATGTGACAAATGCAAATTTGGACGAGGTGACAGAAAAATATGGACGAAGTTTAGTGATTGTAGCATCTCAACGCGTTAGATCACGAGCTTTGATGAGTGTCGAAGTAAGTCCAACATTGAAACTGAGTATCATGCACTATTGCTTCTTAGAGAGAGTAGGCCGATCTCGTTACCATGGTGAAGTCACTCAAGGCAAACTCAGCTTAGCTGCGCTCAAAGAAGATCCAAAGACTTTGTTCTATCACCGAAAGTTTCTACTGCAACACAAGTTGATCACGAAGCAGATCCATCATCAAAAGAGCGCCGGCCATTGCAACAGTGGTAGTCTGTTGCATCTGCCACGATTCTATGTAGAACGAAAGCCAAAAACAATTTATCTGGCAGAACAAGTGGTCGATATTCTACGATCCAAACACAATGGCGTGGCTGATTACGATGAGATTAAGAAGAAGCTTGGAATTGGTAATTCTATCAAGAAATTGTTTAGAATTGCCGTTTTTCAAAAAATCGTAAAGACAGACATCCGTGTACCATATAGAACATTGTATCCTAAAGCAGAGCCTAGTGAATGGCGGCAAAAGCAAGATCCTTCGAAGGAGAAAAAGATTAAAGTTGTCCAGGTGTTATATCCAGATGTAGATGTTGCTGATATATGGAACAAAGAAGAGAAGGAAGATGATGAAGATGTTGTTGAATTGGATATATCTAATCATTTGTTAAATGTTCCTTATTTGAAACAAGCAAATGATGTTATTGAAGCTAGTCAAGCAGAAGGTATATCTCAAGGTTAGTAATAAATTTAAATTATATTTTTTGTTATTAACATTTACTCAGCACTCTTGATCAGGTTTAATAATATCTATAGTTATACGAAATTGGTCAATTATAGTTATTCCTCTGAAAAATGGAATAACTGTGATTGGCCAATTTTATATATATAACTACAGATGTTGTTAAATTTGATTAAGGATATCATGTATAAATGTAATTATTGTTTTAAAATTTTGTTATCCGAGATACGAATTTATACTCAAATTGTAATACAGTAGAATTTACACACACACACACACAATTTTGTTATTTAATTTTCAAATTACAAACAAATAGAAATTAAGAAATTTTAAATTATAATTTTTAGCTAATTTGGGAAGGGAGATGGGTCTCACTAAATTACAGTCTAGGTCATTTATGAGAAATGTGGCAAAAGCGGGTATCGCTGCAACATACATGAATGATATGGGTCGGCAAAGGATTACAAAATATGTTTCAAAAAAATATGAAAAAAGCAGCAAAATGAGTAAGCAATTTAATAAAGAGGTACATAAAATTAAGGAACTTTCCAAGAAAATAACCAGTAAGCGTAAAGAGAATCCGAAGAACAAAACATCCTTGCAAGCAGAAAACGAAAAGCACCCAACAATCCACGATCAGACAAGTAAAAAATCCTCTTCTGATCATCATTTTATCGTTGATAAAATTGATGATATTGATGCACCAATTATTGATAAAGATAAAATTCTTGATAAAGAGAAAGATAAACGTGCAGATGAAAATTGTGCTAGAAAGGAAACAGAATTGAAGAATTTGTTTTATGTTGTCAATAGAATTTTACATAAATATCGATTGTCAAAAATTCGATCTAAATACAGATGTACGACGTCGAAATCTTTATTAATGAAAAAAAAATATTTCGATACCAATGTGAAGAAGAAGAAGAAAGAAAAGTTTAACAATTTTAATACATCTTTGCAGCAAATAATTAACGATGCTAAAGCTACGTCGTTTTATAACAGCATAAAGACAAATTTGATAACACAAAAGCCCATTCGCACTGGAAAAGGAGTTAATGAAGTCTTTGGTTTTATGGAAATTGTGCAGAATACAGAAAAGAGAAACTCTAATATTACATATAGGTTTGTATAAATATGCACATAAGCATAAATAAATGGTTAATTAAATTAATAAATATATTAAATCATTGTTCCTAGAGAGGAATGTATATTAGTTAAACAAGAACTTTTATTGCATATAATTTTGTCTATTTTGCTGTGATATAAAATTTATATTTTTGTAACTTTTGAATATTTTTAAATTTAGAAATACGAACACTCAGATTCTTTTATTGTAGATATCAATATTATTAAATATTTTCTCTTCTTATATTGTATTTTTATATTTTATTTTCGTATTTAGATTGTTAAGACGTGCCAACTTGATAATCGAAGCAGTGAAAGAAAATCAAGTGATTGATGATACAGCGAAACTTATGAAGATGATTTATGAGGAAGAAGATAAAGAGGGTTACGATGTGAAAATTGACAAGAGGTCTCTCATCAGACTGTTACAGAAACTTGCTAAAGATAATTTGGTGAAGAACATCAAGTTGACTTTGAGCGCAAATGGACGTGAGAAGAATTTGACGTTTATTTGTGATCCTAACATCGACACTAATCATACCGTAATTAAGTCAGCTGTCGAGCAAGCGAAGGTCAAATTCTGCTTATTAGCGTCTCAAAGGAGAGTGAAGAAGACAGATAAGCAGGAGAAGGCAGACAAGTCACCTAAGGAACAATTGCAAGAGCTCAACAAGACAGCGACTAAATTATCCTCCATGAACTATAAGCATGATCCCAAAGCTGGTAGACGTTATGGTTTCAGCCCGAAATTTGTCAGGATGCGAACGATACACATTCTACTATTCTATCTAGTCTATGATCATCCAGGCATACCGAAATTATCTCAGGAAAAGCAGGTGGAAATACTCAGATCTAGTGGATATGAAATCAGCGATGATCTCATCCCAGAATTCAGTACCATTTATAACACCGAAGTAAATTGGAAGATGTTTATTCCACCTTTACCTAAACACAATGGATGGTCCGAAGGTTGGGCATTGATGTGCGACGTTTTGTTAGGGCTGCCCTTGTCGATTTTCACCAAAATACATAATGTCCCTTTTGCGATCCCGGATTTAGATCGCTATTTAAGTCATCCAATCAGACAACATTATCTCGTAAAAAATCTTCCGGTGAGTTTGGATATCTCTTAAGGATCTTACACATTATAGGAAGATTAAAAACGACTCAACTAAACAATCTTGAATATTAGCAATCGTAATTTTTATTATTCTGCGAATCAACTGAAAGTTAGATGTGAGCTTGGATCTTTGAAGATAGAACGCAATTTATTCTACTGATATCAATGGCTTTTATATCCTTGTGTTGATTATCTTTGTTGAGAGACTTATGTTTATGTTTATTGTTTTTAATGATCCTTTTTAAATTTTTTTAATAATGCTTACTTGGTTTAAAGATTTCTTTTTAATTTCTAGGTTACTATACGCAATAGTTTATTACATGCACGGAAGTATATATTCAATATCCATGACACTATCACCAGATTAGGCTATCTTGGTCTGGTGCAGTTTGGTCCGCAACGATTGAAAGACAAAGATCAAGTGTTCATCTATATTAACCGGCGCACGGAACTGATGGACACAACTTCTTCGGCACCGGGCTATCATAAGATCGAAGATAAGACGTATCCAGTAACTAAATACTTCTTCGATCGCACACGGGTAATGTTGTGTTATTAGAAATATTAAAAAAATATTTTAAAAAATAATGTTTGAATCTTCTAAATTTCTATTCTAAATTTTGTGGGGTGAATTTAAT